AAATAATTTGGGATACGTCAGAAATGACCTGGTGCGTGTGTTAATAAACCAAAGTATAAAAAATATACAGTATGAGATATATGACACGAGATAACAGGGAACAACATACAGAGGGAACTGGAACGGGAAATAATATGTGGAGCGAGAAGAGTCGTAAATCTTCGAGGATTTTACAAGATCCTTATGGAAAGACGATTCATTCTGCATTAATAATAATAATAGGATAATAGTTAATTTTAGACCTAGGAGAAAATGTATAAAAATAAAAAAAAACTTGTTGAAGTAAAACATATTTAAATTAATTGTATAAATTGTTCTAACTTTACTGAATTAACATATTTTGTATCTTTATTAAATTAATTATTGTATATTTATCAAATCATATAAAGTGACATTAATTCGCGATTAATTCGTGTCAACGTTTTAAAATCAGATTCCGTTATCCGAGTTTTATACTTTCCCGGTAATATACAGTATTGTTTTTCAATTCCCGACAAAGAAAATCCACGGTGCTTGTGCTTGACTTTAATGCGAAACCGCAAATGAATTTTGGTCGCCCGCGTGTCACGAATTTATTGCGGCGCGCGTCGTAAATTTCGGCCGTAACTCAGCACCTCGCGCGCTATTACTCGCCTAAATGCTTATTGTTGTTAACTGATTGTACGAGCCATGGGAACAATATTAATGTACATTCGACGGCGAATTCGCAGAACCGACCGTCGTGTGTACTGATGAACCTGATCGATAATGGAAGGACATTCGAAAGACGAGAGACCCTGAAACTATTTATAGACCCTGTTTAAAGTAATTCGTACAACGTTAGCTTGGATATTATACAATTCTATTATTACAGCTGTTAAATTAAAATGACACCGCGCGTAAACTTCAAGAAAAAATATCTTAATACTTTTATAAAATATTCTAAAATTAAATTTTCCAATTAAAATAAAAAAGCGATCGTAAAACATTAAGAGGAAATCCCGACAGTTCCTTCTAATTATGAATGCTTTTAATAATCTTGAATTCAAAATGATTGCTGACGATTATGCCATTATTGCACTGGATAGTTTCCAAAAGTTCGTAGAAATAACTGATATGATTTACAGGAATTCTTGCACGTGAGAAGAGGTTGAGATATAGTGCTTATTGCGTATAAACAAAATATGGTAATTGCGGTGTTCTGAGTGGAAATCGACGTCATCAGGAAAAAACTTTAGAGTCGACAGAAATAAAGGAAAGAAATTTATGCTAGAAATTTCTCGACTCTCACACGATCTTATCTATCTTAAATCCATCTTACGTCGAAATAAATAAAGAGATGTACACCTTTGTCTCTTTGAAAAGAAAAAGAAATGTCCGTTTTGTTCCGGGAAAAACGACGTTTGACGTAAAATTAACGGTTTGACGTCTGCTTTTATAATTAACATAAAAAAGCGATGTCAGACTAACGGTTAATATTACCTTGACAACGTTTCAATTCACTGTTCATTTTTGGTCAAACATATAGTTCCTGTGACAATGCGAGCAATCTTCTAATTTAAAGGCCAGCTAATTTTCACCTAATTCGTCGACTAAAGTCGTCAGGCGAGACCGTTAACGTGATTCGAAAAGCGCGACGACAGAATTAGCAAAGCTTTCACGAAACGGTGGACAAGAATGCCTGTGGCTTTGAAGTCGCTGGCGGAAATGCGTAGGGATGTATTGACGCAAAGAGACCATCTTGAAAGTGGAATGTAACTTGAATGAAATCTTAATCCGTTCCGCGTTGTTTCGCACGCAGGCGGAGCGATTCCTAGAACATTTAGAGATCTTGCTTTTCATGTACCGCGCGAAGAGGCGAGTGATTTCGCACCGTGACGTAACTTTGTGCGCCATTTTGCACCGTTTCTAGCCGCGCAGCCGGATTAATTCTGACGTCGAGCGCGAATTTCGCTTAGCGCAAGTTCTCGCAATGGCATCCAGGGCTTGGTGCGCGACAAGGAGGCGCGAGGCTGTCGTAATTGCGTCCGTCTACGTCAATGCAAGTGCATGACACGTACGGATAAACGGGGCCGAGTTATAAACACGACGAGTCTCGCGATTGGTACAAATTGAAGTTCCGGCGGGTCTATAACGTCAAGGCGCAGGTGTCCCCCACGTGTCGTTATTTGCGTCTTCCTCTTCTCCAACTTGATCCTTTGTCGCGTATCGAAATGTATACGTGATACGTCTCTGTCGTTAAAGTGTGGCTGGGGTTTGACGTAGCGGTATATCTGTTACACGGAGCGGACCACACGCACATGACTTGATTATCTCAATTGTCCCCGTTAAAAAACTAAAGAATATATAGGCACAGAAAGCGAATGAGCAATCTTGAAGACGTAAAAAAAAATACTTAAGTTAGCATTTATTTTTACAATCGGTGATGTACTTAAACGCGCCGAAAATATGCAAGATAGGCAAAATGTTTTATATAAACAATTTTCAAATCCGAGGCTCCGAGGATTTATAAAATTCAGTGTGAAGAATAGGGCGAGGAAAGCCGTAACAAGATGTTTTATATAATTTCTACGGTTAATTCGCCTCCGAATTCTTCGACGAAGAAAGAAAGTGCGTAATATTTAGAGAGATGAAATAGCCATATTTATAGAAAAAAGGATTAGAGAGCCTAATTTTATCCTGGAATTGACTGAAACGCGACCAATTAGAGTCTAACAATAAGTGTCTCGTAAATTGGACACCCCTGCGATCTATTTTCGCGTTGCTTTCGTTCGATAATGATCGCGCCATGACCTTTCCGACCGCAAATTGCCGTCGTCTGACCTCTACCGCGACCTAGATCCGATCGAGGCGCCGATCAACGCCGAAAATGTTCTCGATCCCCGAGCACCGACTCCGTATTCTCATCCATCGACTTAATAGGTTTCGACACTAACTTATAACTATTATGTACTTTAATATACCACAATACTTTATAACTTTGTTAAAGTACGTAACATAAAATATAAATAAGTTATGTAAATATATTAAGTAATAAAGTTAACGTACATAATAACTTTGTTCAAATACATAATAATTATTTTTGCTTAAATTATTGTGCATTTTAACAAAGTATACAATAAATTAATATATAATAATGTTGAAATAAGTTCGTTGATTTTATAGGATGATATAGGCCGTAATTAATTATCATTGTTAATTTCGTGATAAACGATAGAAAGTTATAAGACAACGATTTTTTGAGCATTGATTGAGAACCACTAGGGAAGATACGAAAGTGTTCGGATTCAATCGGATTTATGGCCTGCTTTCTCTCCCCGTCATTAACGATTTGAGGATACTCTCGATTCTTTATAATCGGTCTATTTTCGTCGAATACGCGCTGAAAAATAAAAATGTTTGCGGCGAAGTGACGATCACTAAGGCGAATTATTTATCGTCGGGATTTTCCGTTTGGCATCAGAGACTCGCTCTTACACAATATACTAAATTGCTAGTTCAACAAATTTCATTGAGCCTCAACAGATAAGTGACGGATGATTTGCATAATTGCATTTTTGTCGCGATCGCGCAAATCATCTCGTTTCATCATTCAGCCAGTCCGCAATTGAATTCGCCAAAGTTAATTTGGTCACTTTGTAAAAAATCAAATCAGTTAAAAAAATTCAGGACTGCGTTTACGAAATTCAATGATTGTGGTGTCTCTGAACAGCACATTGTGCATAAATTTACATAGAGGGCGGAAAACAATGTAGGGATTCCCAAATTCATCACAAGTAAAACATTTAAGGAGAAGATACGTTCGAGATAAAAGTTTTACGGATGTGACGAGAAAAGACGATGTAGCAACTGTTCCTGGTATATTTTAAGAAGTAGCAGTATTTTTCTGGATATAAATAAGTAAAATGTTTTTTCAAATAATTTTTTGACACTTTTTTACAATAAAAATATGAAGACAAAAAATTTAGTAATTTATACTAAAATAAACAAACTAAAAATAAAACCATACATGTAATTTTATTTAAAATATATATATATATTAATGACGTGGATATTTTAAATATACCTTGATATTTTATTTAAAAACACATGGTAGAAAAAATTGTTGTTATGCATTATATTTCCTGCTTAAAACTTTTATGTAAAACTTTTTTTTTTTTTTTAATAATTT